AATATCAATAGCTAACTCGACCAATCTGTCTGAAACCAGTCTCTTCCATACTTCCATAGATTTAAAACAAGAGCTGAACATATTATATCGAGTTTTCTTCCCTGAAATGTCTTTCCCACATCCGTAACATGAAATAACTGTAGCACTAGTACTTGCTGTAGAATTGGAAGCTGCCATGGCATACTATAATTACATTGAACTCCACCCTTTTCTGGTAATTGCAAGCAAACAAGCCCCACCCAAGCCATACAAGTTCAGAACAAATTCTAGATACGGCAGTGTCTCCATATTTGGGGATTTTCCCCTAGATTTGGGGAATTTTTACCCCATCTGGGGACTAGGGGAGGATATTTGAAAATTACCCAAAATCTGGGGATTTTTCTCATTGCCTTAAATTAATGATATTCATGAGAAAATAATAATATTCATAGAAAAATTAATCATATTCATTGATAAAAGAGGTGTGGTTTTAGTTAATAATTTATATAGGAGTGGTCAAATATATAAATTTTGGACATGGTTAATAAAATTATGTGGATTTTTATGACTCAATCTGGGGATTTTTGGTAAAAATCTAGGGATTTTTGTCAAAATTTGAAATCTAGGGATTTTTGAGGAAATTTTTTGGCCAAGTTAGGGAATTTCTAATTAATGCCTCTGGAGACGCTGAGATACGGATTGGTCCTGACCCTCCTCTTTGCGAGGGTCAGGCTCCGCCTGACTAGTATAATTATACATATAATACAATAACATACATTAAGATTCAGTACCAGTTTTATTTGTCAATAATAATTGCAATTGCTCTATTTCCATTCTCATTCCTCTTATGATTTTGTATGATGCTATAAATAACATATGATGATAATAATAATAATAATAACAATAATAATAATGATGATGACAATTCTAACCTGAACTAGTATTTCTTGGTAAAGACAAAAGTTGTTGAAATTCCTTTACGCTAATGTCTACATTATTTCAATTACACAAGTAATTAATAAAGTTTTATTATACTTACTTGCTAGTGTTTCTTCTAAGTGTTTGTTAAATTTTATTTCTTTTATTAATTGTTTATTAATTATTGTCACACTTGTATCAGTTGATAGTATATCTGAAATAATAATTATTCATCAATTAATAATACTGGTCAACAACCATTACATTAATGTATTATTATACCTTGATTAATTACTGATTGAGGTGTTGCTCCTTCTGTTTCTTTCTCTTCCAGTCTTGCTACTCTCTCTTCCTATTAAGTTTGTTTAATAAAATAGTCAAACACAAATTATTATACTTTTATATCATGAGGTTGTTCCTTTATCACCTGTACCTCCTCTTCCAGTGGTTCCTGTATTTCCTTTATAATACAGTATATGATATAATAATAATAACTGACAGTATATATATACACATGCTTGTATCTTTTGTTTCTTCCATATTGTGCAGTATCCAATAGTAAGCTTCATTAGACCATTCTTTAT